GTTTCTATTCTGAAGCGACAATTGCATTCACTGGGCGGACTAGTGTCTGCTCTGCAGTCAACCATCAAAAACATCAGCTCCTGAATTAAAGCACCTTGGCTGGTCATCGAGGGGTCATCATCTTCGAGGAGAAGGAGGGCGGGCCAGACAAACAGCGGCTTTTCATTGCGAAGGCCTGATGGCCTTGCAGCGTGCGCGGGCCTTCGTGCCGACCAAAATCAACAGGCTTTCGATGGTTATTTAAAAAGCGTCATACTTACATTGGAAGGATGTTACACATTCACGAACTTCATAATAACGACCCGTGGAGAAATAGCATAAACGCCACATGCTTAGGGTTGATTTGGACGGCATTAGCATTGCCATATGAATGTGACGAGATCATATACATTGACAGAAGTGTTTGAAAGATGGCTTGAGGTTTCTCTCCTGGCTCGCACAGAAATAAGCTGCTATTGAGTTGGCTTGGTCATACGTGAACAAATGATGTGTGAACGTCTCACTCAATTGAAATACGCACATGCAGGCCAGCATGAAGTCATGCAACTCCATACAATCCAGTAGAGAGGGGGGCCAGGAGGAGGGATGAATGTAGTCAAAGAGGTGTTGCTGTTTCGGGTGGGGGGTAGGGCAGATTTCCCAGGCCATTAGGAGGATGACCTTGGGATGAAATCACTGTCCTTTTCAACCACAGTGTACAGGAGAAAGAAAAAAACAGTGCCGTCTCCTTGTGCACAACGGCGATCTGTCCCAGAATCCGAACGCCTTTCACGCTTCCAAAGTGTGGAGGATGTGGCGGCCTACATCGAGCAGCTGTGAGTGAGACTGCGTAAATGACAGACAGGTTTGAAAATATTTATGTCTAACCCGACTTAAAAAGATACTAGACATTCCACAGAGATCATCATGGCCTGATCTGCGCGGCAATCTTTGATCCGTGGGCGACTTTGGTTCTACCATGTAATTGGTCAACAGAGGGGTTTTGGACGGAAGGCTGGCCGCCGTCCCCGACCTTCGGCACAGCGCACCAGACAAAGAGCAAACGGACAGATGGAAAGAGAGATAAACGGACAGACAGAAAGACAGATGGCTCGATGTGACATCTGAACACACTTGGAATGGCTCAGATGCGCTTGCTCATTCTTGCTAGCCTCCGAGACGATGACGCTAGCGATCTTGGCAGCAACTGCTTTACGTTGCTCTCACCCACCCCACCCCACGCAGTAAATCAATACCGCAACACACGCCCCATAACCAGCGTGCCATGCAAGTGAGACACCCGCAGCAGGGTGGCAAACCCCCCCAGCAGGAACATACATGAGACTTAGACTCATCCTGTTTTCCACACCATCATCCATAGCAGCCATGGGCTACAAGCGTACACCGAGCCAAACTACATTCACAAACGAGAACCTGCTGACCTGCTGCTTACATTATATATAGTGCGGATGATTCATGGCGTACGAGAATGAACCACGTAGAAAAACGAAGGCCAAGAAAAGCATCCTTGTCCATATGGGGGGGATTTAGGCTGCAGTGTTGGAGTGGCACCCTCTACTGGATGGGATTCGACTGTCGTTCTTCTTTATTTCAAAAGGAATTCCATTTATCTTTCATTGACATTGAGATTGAGATGTAAACAAAGTCATTCAGAGTGGTTTGACATGAACGTACAGCACTGTGACTCGATTTCTTTACAGTGGTGGTGATACGAACCAGGAGCTGCAATATCCACTGTGCAAATATAGCCATTTTATTTACGATCCAAAACAACCAGTGAACCTGCATCTTCTTAATTATGTATGTTGATAATAGTAACATAATGTGAAAAAATAATCACCAAAATCATGCTCTTTATTCAAGCCCAGATTTACAGTGTGAAAAGTCACAAGGGGAGCAAAAACAGATTCATTATCTTGTATGACAGTAAACCTCAGCAATAAACAATAAAACACTGAGGCAATAAAATGATAAGACAATACATTTGTTAAATAGGCCATGACGTAAAAGACAAGAAAATAATAAGAAAGATAATAACTAAAAACAACAAAAATAATAAAAAAGTCAAAGCAAACAGCTAAAAAAACAATAGTAATGAACTAAAGTATAAACAGAGCAAAAATAATTATCACTCTCTTATATGTTTTCTTTGGGCCCTGCATGTAAAAAATATATATAAATATAAAAAAATCTTATCTCAAACCAATCATAAAGCAATTTCTCAAGCATCAGTTAAGTCAAAGTTTATTTATATAACGCTGTTTACAACAGGCGCTGCCACAAAGCAGCTTTACAGAAAAATCTGGGTCTGAGCCCTCATGAGCGTCACCAAAGGAGACAGTGGCAAGGAAAAACTCCCTAAGAGCAAGAGGCCATGAGCGGAACCAAGACTCAAAAGGAGAACCCATCCTCCTCTGGTCGACACCGGATAGCGTTTATAATCATTTCTTGCCACAACTTTCTCTAAAGGGATCTTTTAGAGTCATTGAACTCTTCAGACGTCTGGTTCCTATCACCACCACTGCGAACAGTTCTGAATCACTAAATTTCTCTACAGTGGAGCGTTTCACACCCAATCACCCTGAATAACTTGCTTTAAACATTTAAATTATGCAGAAAAATCAGCATAATTCCTCTTTAACTATCACAGTGTAGCTCAAATTCACTAGAAATGATACATTTATGGTCAGCCTATATCACAATCTTTAAGAAAGTTTTGGGGATACCTGTAGGTATGATTCACAAAGATTGATTGCAGAAAAAAAATCTGATCCTAAAAGCCAAACGCACTGAAACAGCAGCCTAACACAGAATAAATGAGTGTCAAAGCCATTATTCCTCCACAAACGCCACAGTATTGCACTCTTGAAGCTTTCTGAATAACAGTAGGAACATATATATATATATATATATAGGTGTTGTTCATCAGCCCTTTCCATCACTTTCTCCAGCATTTCAATTTTCAAGATGATACCCAATGAAATTGTCCAGCTGAGATGAAAATGTGCAGGCCACAGGGTTGAGTCAAATTGTTTCAAATTTCAGATGAAGTCCATACATGTGGTTATGATTCATTTCTGTAGATAATTCCTTTTAAGAAGATCACCACAATCATATACCTTGAAAAAAGGTAGGAAATAAAAAAATATTAAAAAACCCTGACCACATGGAGCTCTCCGTCTTGGTTCCTTAAGCCTGCAAAAAATGACAGTTTGTCCTTTAATCCCAGACTTCCCATGTATGTATTGTGATGGAATCTATGAGAGATCCACCATAAAATAATACATAATACATAATACATAACAGAAGTAAAAGTAGTGGTTTAGTACTGACAGTGACCTCTCTCTCTGCTGAAGGAAGCATCAACTGCATCTACAGTATTTCACAGATCTATAAATCTCAAACTCCATGCTTTATTTCATTTGTGAAGAAAAGAGTTATGTATTGTAAAATACTGCCCCCATGTGGAGTTGATTTAGGCCCACATCCATTTGTTTATGTCAATGACTCAGCAGTCTTTCTGCAAATTGAAGCATTTACCTCAATGGCTAAGTACACCGAGTGACCGTCTCATTGGAGCTCTATGAATGCTGTCGTTACTGTCTGTCCCGCGCGCGCTCCTCCTGCGCTCGGCCATAACATCCTGTTTTAGGAAGCAAGGTTTTAGCAGAACCTCTTACTTTTAAAAAGAAGTTACCCATGAATCAGTCAAAGGCTCTTTCTTCCCCTCTTCAGATCTTTCTCAGAGATTCAATGAATCAAACTGCCAAATGTTCTCAGGCCTGCTCCACACTAAAGGTTCCCTACAAGCTCCTTACTCAGGCCAAGAAAGCTATTCAACTTCGAAATGCCTCAAAGAACTGCTGAATGGGCCGCAGTCACACTCCGTTCTAAAGCTGAAATGGGAATTAATGAGTCTGACAGAAACTATTTAAGCCACCGCGGTTACCTGAGGAGGGAATACCAATTAAAAGGCCCGAAAAGAGTCTCATTACGTTAGAAATGAAAAATAACTCTTTAGTTACTTTCAGCTCATGTTAAACAGGTGTGCTTTACCTTTGGTCACTCCGCTGGTTATTACTGCTGGACAGATGTTTAACAAAGCACTGATGGTTTAATTTTGTCCGTGTCCTGTACTCCAGCCAGCATCAGTGTCTTGGCCTAATGACACACCCAGCATGGAACTCATAACTATCTGCAAATTAAAGGGGAAATTCCACCAATTTTTCTGAATTTTGGCATAATTAAACCTTTCAAATGTAAACAAAATCATTCAGAGTGGTTTGGTGTGAAATGCTTCGCTGTAGAGGAACTTAGTCAGAACTATTCACAGTGGGAGTGATAGGAACCAGATGTCTGAAGAGTTTAACGCCTCTAAAGGCTCCCTCACAGAAAGTTATTACATGAAATGGTTATGAATACGCTGCCTGATGCCTGAGACATTGTTTTATGATAGATTTGCAAGACGGTTGTTGGTGGAGGGGCACACGCAGGGTACTACAAGGCAAAATAGTCAACATAGAAAAAAAATGTTTTTACATTTTCTACTATATTAACGTAAATAACATTTCTAAATTCTATAGTTTGTGTTGTACACACAGTGGCCCCTGATTCCTATCAGCAGCACAGTAAAGAAATCTGAATTAGCAAGTTTTTTCTACAGTGAAACATTTCACATCAAACCACTCTGATTAACTTTCAATGACTGAATTATGCAGAATTTGTGAAAAGTTGGTGGAATTCCCCTTTAACTGTGTTTAACTGTGCATTCTAACCAGCGCAAATTGCAAGAATATTTCTGAATCTACCCACCATTCATTAGCTGAATATGCCGAGTACATTCACCTCCACTGCATGTATAGATCATTAACTGTAGTGCTGCTTTCTTCAAACAGCATCTTCAAACATCTTATCAGTCAATAACAATCATGAGCTCTGATAATGATAAATGATAAATATTATACATTATAATGTGTGTATATGTTGAGATGAGACAGTCGTACATCAAAACTGTTTAGTGTTTATTCTCCAGTCAGAATGTACGCATTCCAGAGGAGCTCTAAGGCTGATTACAGTACCTGCTTTATCATTTTACACAACAGACACTCTGAGCACTTTCACACACAGACCTGTTCTTATAAAGAAAAAACAAAACAAAAAAAAACACAGTAAGTCTGAAGAGGAGAGTTTTAACACGTACTTTCTGTTACACAAGTATATCAGTGTTGTAGGAACAAAATGTTATCTTCAAAATTTTAACTTTAAAAAGAAAAAAATTAAAACTTTCAATGGAAGTTATTACCATTTGGACCATTTCTATTGATTGATTCATGAAATTTTCATGCAGTGTGATGTGAAGCTGGAGTTTTAAAATGATATAAACAAAAAAATAAATAAAAAACAGAACAAATGTGGAGGTTTTGCCCCAACAGCGATGATATATCTGTCCATCCCACAGCTGAGCATCTAAAATCTCCCTCCTCCAGTGCCTGACTGACTGGCTCACTGAGGTTAATGACTTTATGGAGTGGGTCAATAAACTGTGATCTATCTCTAAAGAAACAAAACAGGACAAAAAAAAAACACCTAACAATCACACTTTTCCATTGCTAACATCTCTGAATGTTGTTGATCAATACGCAGTCAAACAAATCAGACGGTCAGCGGCAAAATTACACAATTAACTATGAAAACACAATTAATTATGAAAAGCTGTTCAAGAGAATTACTAATAAGACTGAAACTGTTAAGTATTAGTAACAGGTTAACATGAAAATAAATAGCATGTTTTTTGATATTCATATTTTAATTGCATGGTTTAATTTGACTCTATTTTTCTGCACATTTATGAACCCAAAAAGGCCCCAAACCCCAAAAAAGCCTAGAGTGTATACATCCTCTTTAAACAGCAAAGAGTTTTTACTAAAAAAAAAAAGAAATCAACATAAAAACAACGGCATAAAATTAGAAAAAACATTTCCTATTGGCCAATTTTTATTACAAATTTAAAATTAAATAGAAAAATCTCAATTAATTCAACTGATTCCACTGAACTATCAGTTACAGTTATCAACCCATCCACCTAACTGACTGAATTATCCACCAGATCATATTCTGGTCAAACTCTGCAGCTCAAAACTTTCTTAAAGAAAAATAAAAAAAAATATAGTAGTGCAACACATTCATAGATCTGTTAGAGTTACAGTAACGTTAGTTCAAAAAGAAAAAAGAAAAAGAAAAAAAGTACATCAATCAGCTAAAGCATCTTAACACAACCGGATTTCTAAATTTCTCTATACTTACATTCCCCAAAACATAAAAAATACAGCAGTTTCACAAAGTAACACATTAACAAACATTAAGCCCTTGACTTACTTGTCATTAAGACATGAAAAGTGACTACACGGAAAGAGATTACATTGCAATACTCAACGCAGCAAAGCCCCACTTTAACACCCTAGTATTACTATGAATATCTTAATATCCACTATGCCTGACCATGTGTCCATTTTCAATACGTATCGACCCATCCATGACTGGCTTTCATATCAATGAAGGAAACAGCTGGCTGAATCTCAAATGGCTCCCTATATAGTGCACTGCATAGGTCAACACCAAAATAGTGCCAAGAGATACATTTGGGAGTCAGCCACAGGCCGCACACCTACTAACCGGACATTTAGTGCACTATTTTATTGTAAAAGCCATCCGTTTTCTGAATTATGCAGTGAAGAGAGCCATTTGAGATTCAGCCAGAGTTTATGAAGAGAAATCAGTTCATTTTCATACCAGGCCTAAGGTTTAAAAAAGACTTACCATTAAAATAATACAGTGCATACACAATCCCAGTGTATACATGAGTTGCCAGATTCTCCCTTTAGGCCTCTCTATAGAAGATCACAATCAATCTGGTTTCAGTTTGTGACCGCCGTATGATAATATGTTATCAATGTACAGGCTGGTCACACAACATCGTTAATCATATTGTACCTTGTGAGGATGTTATGGCTACATTCTCAGCTGTAAATATTCCTAAAATACAGTTAATGACAGGTCAATGTGAGGTCAGTGTGTACTGTTTCCCTCAATACTGTTAGCTGAGTAGCAGAAACCTTTCATGTGTTCTAGTTAAATGTGAATACACGTGGCTGAAATGAGCACTGAAAGCTTTTTGGATAACAGTAGGACTAATGCTGATTATGAAGAGATCCACATTCACACACAGGGACTGAACAGACTTGCCCTGGTCTGCTCTCTTTGCTGCTTTTCAGGAACAAATTCTCAAAACTCTTTCAAGCCCTAAGCACTCAAGAAGTTTATCTTCAGTCTTAGATTTCACTGCCAGCTCTGTTTAGAAGCCAAATAACACTCCAAAATGTTGTGAAGTAGTAAAGACTGGTGTTAGGTGACGTTAAAGCATCCACCACCAAACAAAAAGCCTTCTCGCTTCCTTTTAAACAAGAAAATAAAGTTATGTTTTGCAATTTATCTCACTCTGAAAATCATGTGACAGCGTTTCCCAGCATGCATTTATCCAAAATAAAACTTGCTGCATAATTCTATAAATGTCTCCCTGGCATGAGCCGCGTGTTTCGGCCTCGTTACGGCAAACAATGCATCTTCTTCCCAGGTCTATGTTCTTTTAATAAGGTTTCATAAACTCAGTTCATACTAAAGATGTACAAAAACTCCCAAAGATGAATCTGTCCATTCAGGAACATGTAAACTGTCAGGATGTCCTTTTATTTTAGCACTGACGCTCAATGTTTCCTCATTCTTCAAAGTGCAACGTTTCTGAAAAAAAACCAAAAGAAAAATAAAGGCAAATGTGCAGTGATTCCTCCTCACTGCTGAGAGCACTCCCTTGGCTGCTCCTGCTCGCGACTGTCCACCATTCCCTCGTTCTTTTGCTCTATCCCCACCTAGAGGAAAACAGGAGAAATGAGCTACAGTAAGAAGTAGAGGCAAATGTCTCCCACCAGAGGGCGATCACTTCAAAGAGAAAAGAAAACTGCAATGAAGAATTGAAACATGAAAAAGACTGGATAGAATTCTCCAGGGTATATTTTGGTTTGTCCATCTGATTTTACATGACCAAATCGTAAGGCTAATTATTCAGTAACTGCATGAAATAAATGTAAATTTTTATTTATTTATTTATTTTTTTAAAGCTCCCCTCAAATTAACAGAACGTGTTTTGTGATCATAAACATATTGCTATATGTTTACAATTTACATATCATAAACATATTGCTAAAATTTACTGCTGAAAGCCAAAAATCTTAGACGCTCTTTGTATTATTTTATAAAAATAATGTTTACAGAGCAGATCACTGAAGAGACGCCATCTGTTTATAGTTTATAGCTCAGATTTATGGAAAAACGGGTCGACTTTCAGTAGAAAAAAAAATTGAGAGTTCAGCTTCTTTTATTATAAGGGTTTAAAATTACATCACCCATCTATCTGACTGGAAAGAAGACAGTTCCAGCTCTCATATGACCCCCACCTTTTGAATATAGCTTATGAAATATGAAAGTTATGAAGAATACGATGAAGTACGTTTTGGAACCACCGGCGGTCTCAACGAGTTGAGGAGGTTAACACCTGGTCCAACAGGTAAGTACATACAGCAGTATGCAAAGGTTTGGGTGCTCTTGGTCAAATTATACATTTGTGTTGATTTTCTAAGTGTAAATAAGTTAACACACCCAGAGAACATGTTTCTGCACATTTTAATGCACAATTACTGTTTATTTTCTGAATTTAACGTACAAGGTTATGAATTTAACAATATTGCCTGTGCAAAAGTTATGGCACATTTAATAGTTTATGTTTCACTTTTTAAAAAGAAACTGAGCACTCAAATGAGCAAAAAATGCCATATTAGAGTGTGTTATTTGTAGAGGATGTGTTGACTTAATTTCACTTAGAAAATGAAAAAACATGTAATTTAACTTTTGCATCCAGCTGTCAACCAATAAAATAATTACTCACAATTACTCTCATTATTATGTGAATCTTAATTTAATCACATTTGTCTTGGTAGCTGAAATTTGATTCTGTTCCATTTAAACAGCAGTGCACTTTGTTATAGCTAAATGAGTGAACAAAATAAGAATGTATCTACTGCTTTCAATAATTTATTAACCATACTTTGAATCTCAACATGAAAAACACAGATTTCCACACACTCTCAGAAATAAAGGTACTAAACTGTCACTGGGGCAGTGCCCCTCTTGTCACTGGGGAGGGACCCTCAAGGGTACATCTCAGTACCTTTAGTCAGGGAACATAACTGAACCATAATCCACCGAAATTATATTTTCTAAGTTGTACTGACTCCACACACCCCGTCTCGTCTCCAGGCTTTTATTTTATTGTTCTGTTTTAAAACATTAGGTTATAAAAAAAAGGGACAAATACAAACTTTTAACCTGGAAAAACTAATTTAAGGTTCACAATCAGACCTTAAAACCACTGTTGTACCTTTGAGGGAACATTTACATTGTTTGTACATTGATGAATGAAAAATGTACCTGCACAGAACTTTTATTTCTAACAGTGCAGAGTGAACAGTTTCCAAATGTCATCACCGAAGTCCAGTGAGAGCAACAGCATTTGCATGTTCCAACCAATGAGTGTATATAAAACAAATATCGTATATACAGTCAGTGGTTCAACCATGATTGTAGGATCTCACTCTCATTCATACAGCTCATGGATTCTTGTAACAGTGGAGGTTCTAGAGGAGAATTGGAGCTTCAGTTTCCTGTTGCTTTTGATGGTTTGCTGCTTGTTGATTTATCTATATTTCTCCTGTACACACTGTCCAGAGGAGTCTGCTGAACATACGGCTTCAGAAGCCATTCAAAAGCTTATTTGATTGAGAGAGCTACGATTCTGGATTCTATACTAGCAACAGTATTACAGCCTACACTAGTATGGATGATTTGAACGGAACTGAATCTAAACTAGGAAATGCATTAACAGCGTAAAAAGAAAAATTGTTTGTCACATTCGTAGAAACCAGCAACTAGATTTTACTGCTAATAAACTATTCCTTTAAGACTGTAGATACTGGCCCTGAGTGGGGAAATCTGCCATGAATACAGTCTTAAAAGTAAAAAGAATTCAGCCTGAGACAAGAAAAGTGGCCTGGTCAGCAATGTCACATGCACACATACTCCAGCAGCTCAACCCTCTGCAATATGGCCCCTCTCTCAGGGGTTGTACCTCCCTCAGGTGAGGACCACCTGCTGCCAGGCCTCAGCTTTTGTCACACAAATATCAACCTTGTGCTAAAAATGTTTCCGTCTCTCCCCTCTCCCCCGGGCCTGCAGTGGTGTAAAAGGGAAAGTCCTGCTCGTCCCCCTAGCTGTTTTTAAAGCGCTCCTGTGCAGCGACGGAGGAGCTGATTCCCTCTGTAAGGCTGATGAGAGGTAATGGGAGCAGATGCTTGTGGGAGACAGCTCCAGCCACCTTAATGACATGTTTGGATTGCAGCAGGGAAAACAGCTCTGGCAGCTGAGACAGCAGGTTGCTGCGGGGTGACTGCCTGTCGTCCAGTCACACTGTCAGATGGCTGATGAAGTTTAGCACGAACTGCCCCCATCCCCAAAGGGCACGCAAATCTCTCTAATGCAACCAAATGTGCACCAAATGCAGCACCTTCACAGGGCGTTTATTGTATATTGACTGATTAGTCAGGACGTCTCATGGGTGGGGACGGCAGCAGTGCAAACAAAACTTTATTTACAATGTCAACACCACACACACTGACACAATACTGTTTTTGTACTATATCAGGACGTGTGGTTATATGTGTCTCAAATCTGTTTTATGTAACTACTTAATGTAATAATAATAACAATAATAATAAAACTACTTAATAATAATAATAATAATAATAATAATAATAAGCCCTATATATATTATATTATATATAATATTTCTCAGTTTCTTCCCTACAGAGTCAGGACTTTATGACCCTGCAGTGCCCAGTGTGACTCACACACACGCACAAACAAACAGTACCTGGTAGAAATAGTGTGCTTTGTAAGTGATCCACTTCTTCAGTTCAGTCCTCCCTTCCACAGACAGTGAACGAACCGTTGCCTTTGAGGCAGAAGCAGCAGGCATGTCAAACTCCACCTCCACCTGGCACTGGAACTTCCGCGGCACCTCCCAGTCAGAGCCCAGCTCCAGACGGCAGAAAAAGGTGTGAGGGTGGCCTAGCGCTGGTGAACACAGAACAAACCAAACACACACTTACTGACGGCCTGAGACTCACTCAAACAAAACTCTCTGCATTATTCTTCCTCCTGAATATACAATTGCAAATAAGTGCACTTTTTCGCTACATAACATTGTTATAATCATGCCATAAACATTTCATGGTAGATGTCTTATGTTATGGTGAGCTGTCATAAAGGATTTTGTCCAGTAATACAACATGGTCATGCTACCTTTACAAGTAACTGCATGTTTATCACGTTTTTGTCAATGTTATGCAGCATAGTTCAAGTAAAGTATTGCCAAATAGTTAAAAATATACAGTAGCAGCCACCCTGAAGCCTTAATTTGGTAACACTTTGTTTTGAGAGTCTCCTGTAGATGCTCACCTTGTTTTTAACTAACATTCAACTAAATATCTATTAAATACAACTGAACTTTAATTTGAATGTCACAAATTCTACTAAATCTAAACCAAAACTTACACATTAAACCTAACCTTAACTTCACACGTTTTAACCTTAACACTGTTGATAATCACAATAAGTTTCCAGATATTTGCTCACAAAGCGTTCAGTAAACTACAGAGGACTGTAAAATAAAGCAAGACTGTACTTTTGTCCACTTTCATAGATGACAGTGTGTCACGCATTGAGAGAAACCACATAATTAAATCTCTTTGAGATTACTTAACTTTTTGACGCAGTTTAATGCAAGCATGTAATTATTCAGGTGTGTTTTAGGCATTAGGGCAAGTTAACACAATGCTGACTGGTGGCTGGTGGGGTATACTAGCTGTTCCATACTTAGCCATGTTAGCCTTGTAGCTCCAGTTTAAAACCAAAGAGGTGAACTTAACACCAAACATGTCGTGACTGATCAACTATTTTGGCTGCTATTTCTATACGTATAAAAACAAATTAAAGTGAAAACAGTTCATCTCAGGACTGCTTCATAACCCTACTCCTGAGGACGCTGCACTGCACGGTGAACTGCTTTCTTTGCACTACCACCCCAAATTCAGCTCATCAGATAATTACCAAGCCCTTCACGAGCTGAATCAGGTTTGTTAGAGCAGAAAAAACCCAAGCTGTGCACTACAGGGTCTCCCTGAGACTCTGCTAAAGGGACTGTAAGAGTCTCTCCTGTTAGAAGTGGGATTCCTGCATGTCTAGGCTGCGCCATGACGTTACAATAATGGGCCAGCTTCCCAGACATATTAAGTGTGGTCCCAGCCTAAATTGCACTCTCACTGGGGATTCAGCCTAAGACTAGATTCAGTCTGTTCAGAAAACCACATAAAAGTTAAAGCATTTTTCAATTAGAACCTCACTATTCAAACAAATGAACAACAACAAAATAGTTTGCATCATCATCGTCATCATCATAGTAGCACTTAAGTTTTAATTGAAGAAAATTACATCATAACTATGAGAGAAAAAAACAAAAACAAAAACTAAATAAAACGAGAAAGGCCTGGTGGCAACTATGTGTGGCTGTGGTGGGGTGTGAGTGTGTTTGTGTAGGGGGCACACAAAGGAAACAGAAAGCCAATGAGTTTGTGACTTAATGAATAATGACAGCTAAGGCTTTGTCCAACCAATCAGACATGTGCAGAGGGAACCCTGCTGATGAGCTAGTGAAAGGCCTGGAGCACTGGCCTTTGACGCAAAATACCCACACAGAGCTGAAAGCATATGCCAAGAGAATAGAAAGGCTGTGCTGAATAATCAGTGGCTTCTACACCAGCTCATATGAACTGGAATGCAATATTGTTCTAAAAGAAGAAATCGCAGGGCACAAGTCCATGAAATGCAAGACTTCAGGGTTGTGATCTGTATGTGAAAGTTTAAAAGTAGGTTTGGCCTGAATAACTTGCTTAAGTATTCCTTTGTTATGCTGATATTCGTTTCTCTATTTATTATTCTGATGCTTAAATCTTAATATCTTAAAGATAAATAAATTATAGTTGATTTAGATGAATGTATCATAAATTCACTCCGAGCATCCATGTCACCTCTCCTCAGAGCGCAACAAACCACACTGCTTTCCACATGGCCACTCAAGCTAAAAGAGCAAAGATGCCTAAGAAATCACATGTTGGAGTGTTAAATTATTGGACAACAATAATAAATAAGTAAGAGTTTGGTATTATACAGAGACTCCATGAACTTTGATGAATCATCTCAAACATGTAAGCGTCCGAGTACTGGACCCTCTGACTCTGCTCTGTCAAATCAGCTTTTTTTCTCTTTTGCTCTTCTAATTAAACAGTTTTACAAGTTTATAAGTTAATACATAAAGACATATGACATGGTTTGAACTTCAACCAAATCAGACTGAATGCCTTTGACTGTTGAATGATTATTTCAGGCTTTACAGGGCGACTCGCAGCAGCGCGCACACACCATATTTTAGCATGTTTTCTCAGCCAGCAGTCTGGTGGTTCAAATTTGTGTAGAGTACATTAGAAATCCTTCTAGTCTACCTCACTGATCAACAGTGTCTATTCACAGTGAATGAGGCATGACTGAAACATAGTAGAGATGTTACTGACACTGTATTGAGCAATACACACTCAACTGACTCTTGTATGTGTTAAGAAAACAAATTAAGTTGAGATTAACTGAATTGAAGCATTTCTAAAATGTACTTAAGGCATTAGCGTTGAAAAACGTAATATCTCAAGAGTTTAATTAGTCAATCAAGTCAAATAAAAGAAAAAAAAATGTTTTTCCATGTCTTGTGGGATTTCCACCTGGCATCACAAGACATATTCAAAAGATTTAATTTATTAAGTCTTGTGTACTCAAAATAGAACATATGCCACATTACTCACATTTCACGTACACTTTGAATGAGGATTTCTTATATTTACACCATTTTATTGTCTATTTGTACACAGGGCATGTCTTTCTTCCTTGTTCCTTTTCTCATCTCTTTGTTGTCTTTCCTCCTAGCCCCTCCCATCAGGTAAATGTTTACATTCTATATTTAAATTAATTGCCCAGCTTTGTTATTGTTGGCATTACCACATTTTCTATTACTGAGTGTGGTTCTAAACTAACAGGGCGCTACAGTGACAAACCAACCCTGATAGCAGATTAAGCTTGGTAAACTATGCTGAATCAACAAAACTGGGCCATCTTATTTTGAATGAAATACATTCCATAATTCAATTAAATTGAGGTAAAGAATTTAGTTCTTTGAGTGCAGCTTTATCATAACTGCTCATCTCTAATTCCTTACACTAAATGGAATCAACACAGGGATTTAGAGAGAGAAAGGTTACACCACTTTATAGATGATGAAAACCAGATTAAGGCTGATGATGAAAAATACAGACCTTGTATAAGTTAGCAGAGTAACAAATGAAGATATTACAAAGGAAAGGCATTTCCTTACGCTTATTTCAATTACTATACATTGACAATGGAGGTGTGTTATTTAGTCTGTCACTTACCACAGGAGGACCACTTCTGACAACAGGTAGAAGGGAAATAAAATGATTTTTCAAGGCTCAAAGATAAAAACTTGTATGAAAAATGTACAAAAACTGAAGAAAATATTTTCCTTCAGGATTAGGAGTCTGGAGTTTACTGCTCATAGCATTAAGAGCATCTATTATTCTGTTATTTCACTAAGCATGTAATCAGAGACAGTACAGTACAGCTGGCTGAACTCTATTCTTCAACGTCATACATCTCTCAAGCAACTCCAAAAGACAGTGGCATATGGATTACATTGTTTTCATGGACAGTAAATCACTGAGTGACCACTTGTGCCCTGTGGGTGAACGGTATAAGTCAAAAGAGACCCCTCCTATTGAAGGTAAAATGCTTTAATACACTAAATAAACAGCACTGTGCAAAAGTGAAACCCACACTTCATTTATTAACTGTCCAGTCAAAATGGCCATCAAGTTACTCATTTTAAGGAGATACTTCTGGAGAGGTTTGAGAAAAGATATTCTACTCCATCATAGTCAAAGAAAATAAGTGAAAAACATTACTTAAAATCTAAATATACAGATAAAAAGGAAAATGGGATTCCTAGCAATCATGTTAGATCTGGAAGATGATTAAAACTATAAAAAACGATAAAGGTTTCATCTATGAGAGAGAGGAGAAAATCAAGCTGCTTCAAATCTGAAAACATCCACAGGTGTTTCTGTCCATCTTTCCACTGTGAGAAGACAACTCAGTGCTATGGGTCTGAAAGGATGTGTAGCTGTCAAGAAGCCTCACTGAGAAAAGGAAAACAAAGAAGCTGCTGGTGTTTCCAGGACATTAGACTGGCCACATCATCACTGAATGTGTTTGGGACTACTTGGATGGTGAGAAGCAGAAAATACAACCAACTTCTAACGCTGAACTTTGGAAATGTGGAAGACGATTCAGCAGAATTCATCAAAAAGAAGCTGATAAATATAAGCACATTTTTTATTGTGGCTGAATTTAATATTATAATCAGCTGCTGAGGCTCTTTTCTCTCTGTTAAATACATGTTCTCAGCTTTTTTTCCCTGATGCTGAAACATGAATAACTAAATTCGCCATTTTGACATAAATTAAATAAATGAAGGGTGACTTCTGCACAGTACTGCTGGATCTTGCTGTACCAAATAATCTGTGAGACACTTAATCAGAAACCACAACTGGGTTGCAGCAACTCATTACACATAATTTGTAACCTTCATTTACCAACATGTTTTCATTATTGCCGCAAACTGCTGCAATTAACATGTGGTCACGTCAGAAATAATATCATGTTTGGCAGCAAAGTCAGTTTTCTACAACGAATGACTCCACTACTGTACTTAGTGACCTTTTCCCAGTGAAACAGTGTGTTTTCCTTTTTTTGTGCCTGAAACTAGGGCTGGCATTTCAGAGAAGAATTTTCCCCCTTGGCAACTTTCCTGTACAGTAGCTACAGTCACCTTCAAACAAGCTGCCATAATAAGGTAGTTAGCCCTTACCGGAGTTTTTGTCTGGCAGACGGCTGATCCTCCACACCACAGATTTGAAGGCCTGCTCATATTTAGCGGTGCCCAGGGTGACCCTCATAGCTGGTTCTGAGCCGGAACTGCTAGTGGAACCAAAGCTGGCTCCTTTATTGAAGCGTGCCTTGAGGGACTTCTCTCCAGTCACGCTTTCCTTGCGGAAGTTCTTGGCCCATATATCTGGAATGGGGTATCGGACAGCCACATTTTCGCATGGTATCAACGTGAGAGGGTCTCTATTGGACGAGAAGCCTGTCGACATCACCAACCACGACTGGAGCTCCACCTCAGCACCGCGTACACTGACAACCGTTCTCAGAGTGAAGGGGAGCGTCTTTTCCGCGTAAGCTGTCCGGAAACGCAGCAGCTCAAATCGCCGTCCAGCCGGGGGATCGTAGGCAATGATCCTGGAATCGTCAAATTCCGACTGGTCTGCGCACTCATGCAGTCTACAATCTTGCAAACGAATCCACCGTGTGGTTGTGTTTGGAATGATGTCATGCCGGGATACCACTTCTTTTCCTTTGACCTGGATGTCGTTGAGCCCAATGCGACATAGTGGTGAGCCCGTGAGGAACGCAAGCACGTTGACCTGGGTCGTCACCAGTTGCTCGAGAATACGGTTGTCCCCTTTAGACAGAACTCCATAAAAACTATCTACCACTTCAACCTGAATCTCCTCCTCGGAGTAGGATACAGATGAATCGATAGAGCCTGTGTCCACTGATAGGCCCACTAGCTTTTCCTGCAACGCGTACCTGAAGCTCAGGAAGTCCTGGTAGTCGATGGTCCCAAGTTTTACAAGTTGCTCTTTCACAGGTATGTGAACCACGGTCACCTTGGGCTGGATCTTGCGCTTCTCCTTGTACACCACCTGGTCCAAGCTGAGGGTATGCACACGGCCATTCTCTTCATAGTTCTGGAGCTTGTGGTCGGACAGCTCAAGTTGGGCATTCAGCTGGAACTCCTTGAAGGGTTTCTCCAAGCCTTTCTCATAGAAAAGCTGCAGCTGGCCAGCATCACTCAGCCTGACGAAGATGGGCCCCCAGTGCCGAGAGGACATGATGTTCTTTTTCTCTGGGATGCGCAGCAGCATGGGCCAGCCATTCTGCGGAGCCATGTGAGCCGGCTGATGAGGAGTTTCGTCCTCGTCCACTGCATCCACAGAGTCATCGGGTAAAGTGGCACTGCCTACCTGGTCCGGGTCAGAGATCTGCATGTTTCTGAACTGATCCAGATCATCTGCAGGAGGACCTGAGGGGTAAAGGTCATGCCCTCCAGCAGAGTCACTATCAGAGGAGAAGAGCAGGAGGGATTCCCTTTTGATATCAGCAGGCTGGGGCTCAAAAACAGAGGGACTGAAGGAGAAAGCATTTTCTGACCCATTGCTTTCAGACGACTTCAGCTCAGTCTTGTTAAAGTAGGCACTGAATGGATTAATAGGGGAAGGCTGCACGTTTGAGAACTCCTCGTCCAGGAAAGGATTCTTCTTGGTGTAAGGAGTGCTGCTGTTCAACAACGGACTATCCAAGCCAAACACAGGGTGGGTACTATCTGGTGTTAAGTCCAGGATGTGCCTGTCTGTCCCTTGGTTCCGGATGGGTGAAATAATTAGGTTGCTGTTGGCATCTTGTAACGGAGAATTGTTGAGGTTGTCGAGCTTGATGTTGGATGGTTTTGAAACATGCTTGTCTGGCATCTCATCATCATCAAAGGTTACCCAGCTGGCAAAGCGGCTGGAGCTGATGTACGGTTGGCCGTTTGTGTGCGAATTGTTGGCTGTCCAGTTCAGTGTATCCATATTCATTCCCTCATCCTCTTGGCAAACAGACGAATCTGCAAAACATACATAAAAGTTTAACATGAGTACAGACCACAGCCAATTCACACTTTTCAAAAAATCTCCCAACAGAAAGTATCTATAGGGAAGCTTCTAGTCTTCAGCTGTTGCGTTTCATCTTTCAGGAAGCACGGACAAGACGGCTGACAACTCCTGCTGCGCTCGAACCGTCCTGAGTGTTTATTTGTTTCTCATCATTGAAACAAGCTTAATGAGATACAGAGTGACTGAACTAATGAGCAGAACTAACGAAGGAGCTGAAAGGCATTTTGCCTCACTGGGAGAAAGCAGAGACCATCAAAATGCAGCACACATACAAAATATTTATATATAGTTCCCTCACATTAGCGACATCCTGTAAGAGACGGAAGGCCATTCAATTATTTCAGTTGGACAGTTATGCAATGTCCACCTTTTGGTCAGATGTTTGGTTTCTAAAAGATTTCCTGTTCACAGGCATGAAGAGAGAGAGTGATCACAACATATAACTTTAGCTTCGCCCCCCCCCCCTTAAAAGGGAGCAACGTTAGTTTGCGGGTTACATACAAAACAATGACAACCCACAGACACTGTTCACTAACAGTTTACGCTCGAGAAAGAGCATCTGCCACCACGTTATGAACACCTTTCCTGTGTGTAATATCCAGCATGTAATCTTGTATTAAAAGGGCCCACCTCATCAAACGTTGATTTTTATTATACATCCTGGATAAAAACACCAAAAGGTTGTGATCAGTATATACTCTGATTGGCAAACCGCTCGATCCAACATACACATCAAAATGCTGAAGTGCTAGAAGTAAGGCTAAAGCTTCCTTTTCAATGGTTGAATAACTGAGTTGATTTTTGTTACATTTACATGAGTAGTAACACACATCCCGCTATACCGCAGCCATCCACTTGTAATAATAAGAAGAGGCGCCTCACTTAAAAGCACTTTCACACGTCGAAAGGCATGTTCACAGTCAGAGGACCACTGAAACGGTATGGAGGGGCTGAGTATTTTAGTAAGAAGCTCAACAACAGTGGAAAAATTTCTATAAAACCCCCTATAGCACCCAGCCATGCCTAGAAACCGCCACAACTCACGCCTTGTGGCTGGAGTAGGGAATTTCACAATATCCGCTACCTTTAGCATATAATGGACGCATGTGACCTCCGCCTACCTGCTTTGCCAGATATGTTACAGTAGCTTTTGCAAATTCACACTTTGCTAGATTAAGTGTTAGGGAAGCTGATGCTAACTGCTCAAAAAGCGTGCGCAAAGATTTCATATGGCTGGTCCAACCAGACGAATAAAAAATAAAAATAGCAGGGGACAGCGATTAGAATCAGCCAAAATCGGTGGATTCTAATCACAGCAGATTTTGGTAGATTTTTGGAGGTAAATAACATAAGCCAGGTAAGAGCACTCATGCTGCAAACAAAAAACAAAAAGACTGGCTAGTAAAATCAACCAATTTGTAATTAATATCCAACCAATAACCACTAGTAAACTTGAAATTAAATGGCTACGTTCACATTACCAGGTTGAAGTGGCACAAATCTGATTTTTTGCCCTAATGTGACTCAGATCTGATGTTTTCAGGGCTGTGTGGACACGCAAATCTGATCTTTTCAAATCCGATCTAAGCAACTTTCATATGTGAGCCTAGATCGGATATGGTTCAGCTGAGAGCTGATCAGAGTTAATTATCTTTGCAGCGAAAGCTCGTTCTGCTTGTTAGTCACGTGACGTTACTGAGTAGGATGTGCGCATGCGGGTCATTTTAGGACGCTGGTTCGTAATGATAATGATATTTGATTCAGAGGAATAAAAAAAATCACCTTTAGCACAACATCAAACTGATGTGTGGAGAAAACCTGGAGCGGAACTCCAGTCAAACTGCACTAGAACTCCTGTAAAGTGTTGTGTAAATTAACAGAATCATAAACTCAGAAGTCAGAACATCCGTCTGGCATACAATCTTCCTCTATCCTAAACTATTATAGCTCATGTCAGTTCGTCATCTGTGCTGTGAATATGTATCTCTGTCTCTGCTGTGTCATCTGTTTGTATGTTGTTATGTATTTGTTCCTTGTGCCACTAACTGTAATCTGTAAGCATCTTTGGGTCCTAGAAAAGCGCTACACAAATGTCATGTATTATTATTATCACTATTATTATTATTATTATTAAAGTGTACAAAGACATCCAGGATGCAAACCTGCAGAAGTTTGCAAAGAATCTGCTTAAACATTAATAATCTGAAATACAGCAGCCACCTTTAGAAAGAACACTTTGTTTAAAAAAAACTGCAGTATTGGAACGATGTGTTAAATAAACAAGACTTGACTCGACATTTCATATCCTAACAATTAACTCCGGCACACATGTCCAAATACTTTTTGGGTCACTGTACACTCAGCCCAAAGGAAAACCAAAGCAAAGTTCCAGTAACTTTATGAATGTGAGTACCGTTTGTAAATGTAAAGCAAACTGATTAAAATTCTACTGGCCTCATAACAGTGAATATTTTTTGTGTCTACCTCTGGCACAAAGCAGCTCATATGAATGTGGATTCTCTCTCCAGAGGAGAGGCCCCTTCCAGCATGAATTCAGCGGTTGCAGGGCTTTCTGAAACTAAGCTGAATCTCTTGGCCATTCCAGCACTCTGAATGCATCTCTCTGCTGCCAAATTAGAAAAAAGATTCACCTGTTGCTAGGCACCGGCATTCTGTACCTCAGGTCCACGAACACTGCCAGTGAATTTGCTCTCTTCAACACAATAACACACAAAGGTAAGTCCTTTCCCCTTACACCATTACATGTTTGCTTTTTGCCCTGTTTGTGTGCACTTGTGGGGCGTGTTGCATTTTGTTTAAAGTCACCACGGTGCTCTGGCACACAGCAAAGTCATGCACTACTATGTCCTTGGGCCATATCTGACGTTACCGAATACCACAATCATTTAATAAATGTGCATTTAATAAATTAAGTGCTGATGTTAGTCAAATGATCTTTCTTCATTCTCTTTCTCATCCAATGTTTTTTTATTACTTCACCTTTATTTAACCATTCCCTTTGTACAATCTCTCTAATTCAGGGGCTCCCAATCCCAGCCCTGGTGACCCCATGCTCTGCACATTACTGCGTTTTCCCTACTCCACCCCGCCAATGAGGAGCTTGTTAATTAGTTAATGAGTTGAATTAGGTGTAGGACTAGAAATCCCAGCTCGAATCTACGATTAGTTCAAAAACATATACAACAGAAAATACTGCACTTGTTTACAGCTCATACAAACAGAACATCACCAACTAATTAACTACACACTTACATACTTTGAATGGGAGCTGTATGTAGCTGTATGCAAAGGTTTGAAAACCCCCAGTCAAATTGGATGTTTTGTGAATTGAAAATAAGTTAACACATCCACTGTATGGTAAAACTTACACACAGAGGTGGGCAATATGACAGTATTTTTCTGTTATCGTGATAAATTACATCAGAATACACTTTTCTGAGCATATTGTGGACACTGTCAGAACTTAAAGAGCCACCACCTGCATGTTTCATTACAAAGAGAGCATAACTACTCCTTAGAGCAACATAGCTGAATAAAGATTGTTAACACCTTACTGTACGGTACTGTTCATAAGGCTGTATGACACCTACATAAGCAGGTCATGACATCTGACATAACCCTACATAAATGTTTATAAACCTTTATTCCAGTAGGCATCATCTGTCATAAAGGCTACTTCAGCTAACTTTGATCAAAAGTGGCAAATGTAACCTTTAAAACAAATGATGCCTATTGGAATCACCATTAATAAACATGTATGTAGAGTTACTTCAGTTGTCTTGACAATCTTATGAAGGTGTTCCGTAGCCTTATGAACAGCACCCTACAGTAAAGTGTCTTCTAAAGATTTTTTAGCGCACATATTCTATTTATTTGCTGACATATTGGAAAAAATATGTTAAATTCAGCGAATAAATAGTAATGGTGGTAATTGTGCATTTAAATGTTCAAACGTGTTCTCTGTAGAGGATGTTTTAACTTATTTTCAACACAACTACAAAAAAATTACTGGGGTGCCTAAACTTTTGCACACACCTGTATGCAAATGAAACAAAGAAACTCCAGTACAAGAGATCTTCTCTCCTGAGGAAAGTGAACACGTCAGTCCAGAAGAAGGGCACCAATGCACCAGTTTGGCAATCTTTTTTTTTTTTTGGTTTCCAACCAAATGAACATGGAGATCCACTGGATGTAAACAGCGTTACCTGCCGCCTGTGCAAAATATAGCTATCATTATGTATTTTTAAGCGATATAAGAAGATAGCCCGGATTGTAATCATATGGTACTTGCATTACAGTCAGGAAAATAGCTCTGTAGTGCTCATATGTGGTTCTCTGTGAGGAATTTGGATTAGAATGATGATTTTTATAGAGACAATTCTGCAGATGATAATCGTTGGTCTAAATTTCCACTACCATCCAATCCCTACGGTGCAACTTTAAACACTCGGCACAAAAAAGAGCACAATGAGCCCAGTGACACCTTCACTTAATATGCAATCTGGCAAACAACATGAGTCTCATATTTACCTTCAAAGTCTCCAGCCTGGACTCTTATCAGTGCGAGGGAGTGGCTAAGAAGATTACTAAGCGTCAGCGGCACAGAAAAATGTGAACTACTGTACAAAGAGAATTCTGCAGAAGTTCCAAACAAGCCTTTTCATGTTCCAACAAAAGATACAGCAGGAGAGCCGGAGGATGAGATCTGAGGCTCGATGAGCAGCAGACATTAAGGTTCATCCAGTTTCAAACAGGTTGCAATGACAGAAATGTTAGTAAACCAACCCGCGTCCCACTTCTTTTCTCCCCTCGTCCTCTTTTTAAACTTTTGTCTTGCTATAGTAGGACTTTAGGAGGACACTGGGGGTACTGAACAGGGGGTCTAATCAGCCAGCACTAAGGCAACTGCCTGTTACTAAGCACCAGCTTC